GCGTGAACAAAATAGCAGTTATGCAAGCCACAGCGCGGAAGGATGTCGGCAAGAAAATCGCTGAAATAACTGGGGACGTTTACGACAGTTCAAGGAGAAATAGTGGATGAAACAAAAGACTTGGTCAGTGACTGGAGAGATGTGGCCAGAGAACAGTTATGCTTACGATACTGTTCAATTATCAGTTCAAAGAACTAACTTTATCCAACAATAACTAGCAAACGAAAATTGGTGAAGAGATCTTGGAGAATGATAGTGATGAAGATAATCATAATTTCTAATAATGCGATGGTTGTGGCAACAATGGTGATGATGACGATGGCGGTAACGTTGACGATGGGAAGAAACAAGATAAGCAACGAACGAGAAAGCAAAGGCTTCGACATGCAGCGAGGTACTAAAGAAAAAGATCGAGGAAAGAGGTCGAGGCTGTCTTCCTTCCGTGGATTCGTCTGAAGCGAATGATATCGTTAAGTTAATGCTCATTTCTGCTCAGTTTCTGTTTATGCTAAGTACTGTTGACTGCAAGACAGCTTCGAAAGGATCAGAAATAGGCAAAATGAAACTGGCCCAACAACAAAGCCATGAAAACCATGAAACCACGGAAATGAATGCCGGGAAAGATTCGGACGGCAATGAGCAATACAAAGGGATTTGGTAAGTGGAAAGAGCCACACGAAACAGAACGGGTATGAAGAAAAGCAATAATGATGATGATGAAAAATAGTCAGAAACAGCGGTAATGGAAAACAATGATGATGATAAACAATGATGAAAACAATGATGATAGCAAGAAAGTGAACGGAAACGATGACGATAAAATGAATTAAGAACGAAGATTTGATGATGACGACAGGAAGCCAATATGAGAAGTTTTAATAATAATAAAAAAACCAAACAGTGGTGGTGAAGACAGTGAAGATGACAAGAAATTGGCTGTACTGAAAAATAAAGCGAAGAAAATTAGCGAGAACAATGATGATAACATGAATGAATTCCGTAATGCTGGTAATAATGAAAGGTTCGGA